TTGCTCAAAGATATTAATAATGCTGCTTTAATATGTAAGGACAATTTTCGCACTTTTTATGGTTTTACTTATGCAACGCAGGCTCAATTTGCAACAGGTTGGTAAATTAAATAATTTCTAAACTTTTCTTTCAAAAGTTTTCAAATAACATTTATTTATTTCAAAAATAGCACAAGAAAAAATTAATATTAATTTAGCTACTATCTGGGAATTAAGATTAATAAAAGGAGTTGGTGAACAATAGCAAATAATATTTCTTTAGAGTGTAAAAGAAAACATTTTGATAATGGTGATGATTTATGTATGTGTACAAATTTTCCAAAAAATGCTGTATCATTGGTTATGTTTAATTGATTTTTTACAATTTTTATTACAAATTAATAAGGTTATTACTAATAGAAAAAATTTTGCATAAACCTATTTTTCTTTCTAATTTATTAATATAATAAATCATATCTTTTCACTTTTTAAAAATGGATTCACATTAAAGTTTTGATATAATAAATCAAATTAATGATAATTAAAATTTTGATAAATTTTTAGTTAATATATGGAGCAGATCCAATTTTGGTCAAAATTTATATTATTAAACCACTTGGCTGATTTCGGTTATGCGTACAAAATTAGCTTAATAATTAAACTTAACAAAAATTTTGAATAATATAAAAGTAAATTATCTTTATAAATTTAATTGTAAATTATTTAAAAGATGAAGTATTTATTAAATATTCATTTTTTTTAAAGCATGAAATAATATGTATTAATTCAACAATAGAATTTATTGTAATTAATATAAACATTTTTATCAATTTAAGGTGTAAACATTCATATTTAAATGACTATTTTCTGTTTGATATTTAAAATTATACCATTATATCAATGCAAATTCATATATATTTTTTCCATTCGACTTGTATTTGTAAATAAAGTTGCATTAATATTTATTAATAAATAAAAAATTAATTTCAATTTTAAAATTATTATAATATTTATATTATAAGATAATAATATAATTTGCAGTATCTTTCAAAACAAATTCCTATATCAGTTGTATTATAGTTTTATGCATCTTTTGCATCTATAAAAATGAAAATATCACTAAAAGAGAGAGAATTATAATATTGACTTTTAGTTTGAATGATATCTGTATTAAATATTATAACATTGTTATACCATTCAATAATTGATGAATTCATATTATTTTCTGTTAATTCTTCTATTGTATTATAAAAATCATTTAATATGCTAAATAATACAAAATTTTTTATTAGTTTAGATACTAAAACTTTGAATTTTTATATGTATCGACATATAGGTCATATTCTAGTTATAAGATATGGTAAATCATATGATCTGAATATAAGTTTTAATAGTATAACTCCTATATATAATCAAAACTTTATATAGTCATTTAATCAGTTTTATCAAAATTTATGATTTTGTAAAAGTGTTATTAATAAAAAAATAATCTTTATATAAAAATAATACAAGATAACTATATAAAGGTGATTTTTATTTGTTAGTAATTTTTATAATATAAATTTTTGTAATACAAATATATGATTAATAATAAAATTAAAGTCAGATCTCAATTAATATGAGAGGTTTGCTAGAAAAATTGAGCTCTGAGCATTTTTTATTAAAATTTTAATTTTTATTGCATTTTAATCTAATATTATCAAAAATTAAAATGCAATAAAAATTAAAATTTTAATAAAAAATGTTCAAGGTCCTATTTTCCTAGCAAACTTCCTATAAGTAAAATATATATATCATTATTATCAGGTTCATATAATTGGTAAATCAAAATGTAGCTTCAATTTTACATCATCTATTACATAATTTTTGTAATATATATATTCAGTGTTATACATTTTTTATGTTCAAAGCATTTTAAGAATGTCTAACATTATGTCTAAAATATTGTCTAAGAATATCCTATAACAACACTGTATATACTAGTTGAAATGATACAATTCAGCTAATAATCAGATATCTGAATTGTATTTGAATTTAAGTTAAATTTTTGTGTTTAAATTATGGTTAAATTATAATAAATTTAGTTTAATTTCTATTAGCATAATTTAGCGTTAATAGAAACAATTCATATATAATAATCAAACATAATTTGACCTAAAAATTAAGCCAAAATCAACCACTTAAAATCAATCATAATTTAATTATAATTTAACTACAAATCAACCATATATCAGATATAAATCAGATACAATTTGCTAAAAATCAACTTAATTCAACATATTAAAATCAACCATAAATCATATATCAAAATAAATATAGCAAATCTAAATTTATTTCAATTTATTAAATTTATATTTTTATTATTTTACATAATTGATAAATTTAATTCCTTAAAAAGAAATACTTTGCAATATATATAAAAAATAAAGTAAAATTAGAGCTCTGAATCAGATCAGGTCAACCTATGACCCGACTTAACCTGACCTGAAAAATCCAGGTCAGATAAACAAATTTTCAGATCAACATCAGGTCGGGTCAAGCTTATAACCTGACCTGATAAAATTCAGGTCAACTAATCAAATTAAACGAAATAAAATATTTAAAAAAAATTTTTTTTTTGTCTATTTTTTTTTTAATTTTATTTAATATACTTTCTTTTTATATTTTAATAAAGTTGTTTATATAATTACTTTGTAATTTATTATAAT